CTGCTCCTGTAGCCAGCCCGCTTTAATACGGAGATGACGTGTTCTCCATGAACTCCCTCCAGCCGAAATGCTCAGGGCAGATGTGCTGTCTGAAGCCAGTCTTCTCCACTCAACTTTCTCCCCGGCGTCCTGTAGGATAGCCTCTAGGCCCTTTACTGCCACCGCCCCATCCAGGAGGGCTAAAAGTTCTGCTTCTGCCGTAGACAGAGTGATCATGCTCTGGCGACTGCTTCGCCATGCCAACGGGACGCCTCCGTAGGTGACAAGCCACCCTCCATGGCTACGCCCCCCTTGCGGGGCATATGCTGCATCACAGTACATTATCAGTCCTTCGCCGTTCCACTTGATTGTCATACCGTATTCAATGGTACGGCGGAGATAGCCAAACACCTTGCCACTTATTGCCACTGCTTGTGTAGGGCATTTCGTTGCTAGTGCCGCCATCATTGATGTTGTATAGGCCAGATCGGGTCGTGTTCTTTGAGTGACCCAAAGTGCCTCCCCTGTCACACGCTGGGCTTCCCTTGTCACCAAGGGATCAGCTGGCTCAACGCTCTCTGGCAACATTGCCAGCTCCTTTGTAATTGGCACCTTGTCCAACTGAGTAGGCTTGATACCATGTGCCCGCAGTAACTCGGTGATATAGCCTTGTTGGAACACCCGAATCTCACTGGCTGTCTCTTCCACCCTCTGTAGCTCCATGCTCAAGAACCTAATTGAGTTCTGCGGCCCTAAAAAGGATAGATCTGACGTCTCCCAGCATTGCTGTATTGCTCCACCAATCTCTTCCACCAGGTGTCGAGGTCCACAGATCATGAAATCATCAACATACACCACAACTATGGCTTGTACATCTCCATCTGGCCCTCTTATCGTCCACCAGGCAGTGATGGCTTGACCTTGTCTCCAATTTAACCCTCTTGGCAATGGCATTGTCCTTAGCACTTCGTCTCTGTAATTGCCCCATAACATCGGAGCCTCCCGGAGTCCGTACAGGGCCCTGATGAGACCCCAAAGTTCGAACTTAACCACCACACCGAGGATCTCAAGGAGTCGTGGTGGCTGAGCCACCACCACTGGGTCAGTTGGGGTCCTGCCTAGCGGTGTCTTTATGAACGCCGCCACCACATCAAGAATGGCTACCGACCAGTTCTTCTTAGTCGCAATGGTGAGGGCCGATCTCACCACCTCAGCCGGTGCTGTCTCTGTGTACAGCGGATTGCCCTCATCTGTCGCCATATTGCCACATATCACCAAACGTGCCTTGCGTTTGTACCATGTACTTGGATTGTCGAGCTCCGCGCCACTGTTTGGCTTGATTGTAAACACGAATTTCATCGGAAGTCTCTGTACACCACGCTTGTTGAACCATGCCCGCCTTTCATCAGACCCAGGTCTTAGCTTCACAATAGCACACTCAATGCTCTGGAGCTCCTTCATGATTGCCGGCCTCCATGCTTCAATATTTGCTGTAACCTCCTCAGGTCTTACCGCATGGGTAACATCTAGTGGTCCAGTCAGCTCCGCGATGACATTTTCAATGTCCACAGTATATCCCACTTCTGCTTTGTTGAGCTGGGGTTGTACTTGCTGTGGTTTCCCATCCTCAGTTATCTTTACCAGCCCAGGATTCATATCCAGATACATGGTCCACACTCCACCAACGTTATCCTCAAAGAACGGCGCGTCTCTGACTGCACGTAGCCCAGATTCAAATGCACCCTTGGTCACATAGTCGTAAAGGTAGTGTGTCCAGTGCGTCTCCATAGCCATTGCAGACATCTTCAGCTTGTCTTCTGTGTCCAGAACCTCGTTGTTCAGCTGATCCAGCTTCCGATCCTCCAGGCGAGCTATAAGGGATAAAGCTTCCATTTCTTTGAGTTGTGGGCATCCTCCCTCCAGCTGTAGAGGTAACTTGCGTCCTGTCTCATCACACAGATAACATTCATCTGGGGTCCACACCATGGTATACCCAAGGGTTCTTATGAGTTGCCCCATAGGGACTATAGTCTGAGCTCGTAGTTCATCAGGTCCACTGGTAGCGGAGTGCAAGGCATCAGCAGAGTGCCTGACTTGGTAATACGCATCACCAGCTTGTGGCTTCCAGCGAGTTGCACTGCCACTTGTTCTGCATCCATCCACTCTTGTTCGGATACTGCAGTGCGAAGGCTATGGGTGGCTCCACTGTCCAATAAGGCCGTTGTTGTGGCTTCCATCGAACAAACACGAATATCTTGTAAACGTAGAACCTTCATTGTTGGACGTGTTTTTTCCGGAGAAACCTCAGCGCTTGGGGACTCACCACCTTGACCTTGCACCATCTGTTGCGCAGCTTGCACCAGCGATTCGAGGGTCCACGGGGTTCCAGGAATAGGCTCTGTAGTCATAGTAGTCGGAGCTGAGGTTGCTCCTAACGTAGCCATTGTCGACTGAGTAGACGTAGGTCCTCCTCCACCCCCTGGCTTTCCCGCCGCTGTGTCTTTGGGTGGCGGCGCAGCTGCTTTGCTCGGTTGCTTCCCAACCGGACACTCCTTCTGTCTGTGGGCTTCTGACCCACAGCGAAGGCACTTCTTCGCACGTGTTTCCCGATCAAAAGAAGACATATTGTGCGAGAAGCTGCAGCGATCCCCGCGCTTGCAGCCCGTGGCCTTGGAGAAATACCTGCACATTTCCGGCGACGACCCAGTTTTTCCCCCTGCATCTCGAGCTTTTGGTTGGAGACCTGTATCTATCGCCCTAAGCTTGGGTGTGGTAGTAGTTGATGAAGACATAGCCTTGGCACCCAGTAGTAGCTCCAGCTCTGCTTGTAAGTGTCGGTGATACCCTATGACTTGTTCCAGCGTAGGTCGTGCATCAAGCCTCAAGGAAGCCCTAAGCATCGAGGTCCTGAAGCTTGCATCTGGTGACCCCTCAATATGACTTGCCGTCAGCGCCTGAAGTCCACGGGACAGCACTGAGGGATCTGGTGGCGACATCTGGACCGCCCGCCCGACAACGTTCCAGCCACCTAGGCCATGCTCGGAGCACTTTCACTGCTCCTTCCAGGGTTTCGCTTCCTGCCGCCTCTGCTGGCGACTGCAAGCGCTTGAGAACTTCAGTGCGCTCCGCCGACCCACCTGGTTGATAGTGGGTATACAACCTGTATAACATTCGTACACAGTCCTGTGTGCACCTCCTTGAAACCATATCGGCCTTCAAATCATTCGGCATCGCATTGAGCAACATAGATGACCCACGTGCATTGACTCTAAGCCATTTCCCAGTGCACCATTCTTCTGTAGATACTGGCTCGATTGTAAGCTTCTCCAGCGGTGAGGCTGCTAACCAACGCACATATACACGCTCCACTGCACTCAATACACCTTGCCACCACGTAGCACTCGATTCTGAAATATCAGACATGATTGAACTTGAAACCTCCAACCAGTCCTGGAAGGTAAGTGCTGCATCTGTAGTCTCCTTGGAGTCAGGCATAGCTGTCAACGTCATCGTCCCAGGCTTCACTTGCTCCTGTCCCGAACCGGTAGCCTTGTTCATAGCTTGCATCTGAAGTTCTTGAAGCTGTTGAACACCCTTAGCCAAAGCTTCTAGCACCGGTGCTTCGCCGACTCCTGACGCAGTAGCCTTTGGTGGTGGGGTTGCTGACCTTCCACGGTTTTCCCACCAAGATCTCAAGACTCCTGGTGCCTCTGGTCTGTCTGCCCTTGGTACAGAGAACGCTGTCGGATTGTTGGGTCCCAGGCCATCTCCCTCGGATTTCCAAGGGCCGGCAACTCCTGCTGATCCTGCACTTGGCTGTGTCCTTGGCACTGGCTCTGGGCCCTGAGCTGAGAGAGGTTGAAAGCTCCCTGGCTGCTCTTGCGTGGTAGCATCTCCACATGGTCCGATAGGAGGTAGCCCAGCCAATGACCCTGGGTCTAACTGAGCAGTTGTAATGCTTCCCAGCAGTCCACCTTGGCGTAGCACTGTATGTTCTTGTAACATGTTTCTCTGCTGCTCCATCCGCAGCTGTGCCTTTGCCTCTTGTAACTCCATCTGTAGCTGCTCGTTCTGCTCACCAAAGTCTCTGAGCTGCTGTAGCACACCGTGTAGCTGCCTTTGTACCTCTGCTTGTATAGCTTCTGCTGGTATGCTTGATGACGATGGTGGCGTCGGAGCCGGCGGTATTGTTCTGGGCCTTGCTGGAGATCGAAGGCGAAAGGTTGGGCCGCCTGGCGGCGACGAAAACGGCGAAGCCCCTGGAAACGGGCTGGGAGCCATTTCTCCCTGTGGCACTCCTGCACCCGTATTCAGGATACTTCCAAGCTTGGCAAACCAGCGCGGCACGTCTACACTCGATAACCACGATGGCTGCTGTCCCACGCGCTGCGCTCCTGCCGTCGTGGGGGTCCTTGTACGAGGTGGTGTCTCTACACGCTCAGGTAGAAGCCCGCTATGCTCCAAATTCTGATACCCGCCCACATTCAGAGTCGTTGTAACCGGTTGTTGTGGTTTCACCTGCACTGACGTGGTTGCTGTAGCAGGGTCTGAAGACGAGCCTCGGACACCATCCAGTTGCGACTCTCCATGCCTTGCATCGTGTAGCAAGGCATCTCTGGTCTGTCGCTGACTGCTATCATCCTGCACACCAGTCCCAAACTGGTCGCTTGTGTTGTGGGCTCCTGCCGAGCCTTGCTGGGCTGAGGACTCATCTCTCCCCACCCCATTCGGAAGCACCGCTTCGGAGGTTTGGGCGCTCATAACCTAGAAATCCACACACCACGCAGGCAGCAGATATAAGCTGTAAGTAAATCACCGTCAGCAGCAACGACTTATGCACTTCAGTAAACCATGAAGGCGCGAAGCGAGCTGACAATTCTTTTTCCCCAAACAAACAAGTCGCGAGTTGTCAATGTAGCTTCTGTGCTTTCTGAATTGTACAAAGATGAAAGCACTGGTGCAGCTACGGAAGTACTGTGCTTCAGGCTTCTGTACTGTGCAAAGTGATGGCCCAAGGATCCTTATTCGTAGCCGTCCTCAAGCCAAAGACATTGCAGCGCCCGAACATACATATATATGAAGGCGATGTCGGCACACTTCTGCAAAACCCTAAACCCTAAACGTGCCTGAACTGTGGAGGCAGAGGACACGGAATGGCTGCTGCCTCGGTGCCGGCCGGGAGATCGTCCGAATCTCGTCCCATTCTTGACGCATGTGACCTTCCAGCCTTCAGCCTGCAATTTGTAGTCTCACTCTAGTCTGATTCTTGTTATTTCTTTTGCCGGCACCTGCTTCTGAAAGGGTGGGGATGCTGAAAACAACTGCACGATTGTGCCAAGCTGCCGTCCCCATCGGAATAGCCTGCCACAGAAGACCCAGCGTAGAGTCCCAACATTGACTTGGCCAGAGAAGCCCAAACAGACGTTCGGAATATGTCGTACCATAGACAGTGGGAAGTTCAAAGAAATTACCCCCCCTGCCTCGATGCCGAACTCCAGCGGGTGCCACTGAGAGAGTCGACGCTGGCGATGCCGTGTTCGGGCTGCTCTCTGGCGGTGCCTGTCGACAGCATGACAATCACTGCCTCGCTGGTACAATTGGGTGCAACAAACATCGACTCCACACATTCCCAAGCCTCCGCGTAAGCAGAGCTCGGCCCAGGCCCCCTGCGGCGGAGTGACGGCACATCTCAGAAATGCGGCCCGAGATCCGCTGCGTGAGGCATATGCTAGCTTATCTAGCTTGTTCGAGCTCGTCTACCATGCATTGTGCAATGCCGCGGGCCTGTCGACTGTGACCTCCTTTGTCGCAGCAAGTGGGGCTAGCGGCTGCACAACCTTCAAGGCGGTTTGCCAGCCCTGTTTACAGCTTGCGTCTTCTCCTGGCATTCATGCTGCAATGTGGCCAGATGTGACAAAAATTCTGAACATTTCTACACTCTAGACTCTGAACCTTGGCCGAATGTTGTAACCACTCGACGCGTGCGGCGTGATGAACATTGCCAACAGAGTCGCTGCCACGGTGGCACTGCCACGTTTTTCCGGAAAACTTTCTGTAATCACTGTAATCTCTTCCAGACATCGCTGGCTGTGTCACTGTGTCACCTCTCCGTCTGTCGTTTCTCTCCAGTCGCAGCACCCGAATGGCTTTTGCCTGCGCTTGTTCGGCGGCAATGTTGAGCATCCGACCAAGGCATGGCCATAATGACTTAGTCAGGTCTGCAACATTGCCGGCAACAAAAGAGAAAGCAAAAGCGATCCAGGATGATCTAGGTGCTCCCCTCTCCGTCGTGGGCCCGAGAAACAAGCCTTCTTGGCAACCCTGTGAAGCTTGTGGGGGCACGTGGCAAGGCTGGGCCCAAGTGAGCTTCTAGTGGCTGCAGCCACCACTCGGTGGCGGTGGAGACATAAGCTGGACGAAACCCATGACGAAGAGTGTTGCTCTGGCTTTCCGACGGCCGAAGGAAGGCTGGGCACTTTTGTTCCTGTCCCTCTCGCCTTCTTTGATTCTGTTCAGAGCGACCCCCACGCATGTGTATCCATACACACCGGGCAGGGCAACCAGCTTCCCGAATCGAAGTTCGAAGGCACTAACCTTTTCTCTCAGGGCTATTCAACTACTCATTCATAAAGGATCGACCTGCTCAGATTTGGCACGGCCTCATCTCTGCAGCCTCATGCTACAGGTCTGACCTGATACCCCCCCTGGCCTAGTTGTGGGATGTTGTGGGATTTTCATGTCTGGCTTCCTTCTTCTGATCTGTTCTGTCTGCTTCAACCCTGGCTAGGACATGCAGGGATGCGGACCTTGTTTGGAGTCGGCGGCCTGTCATAAGGCACATCAAGGCACAGCACTGACCGAGGGAGATACGTGCACCTGTTGGCATCTCGAGCGGAAGTAGTGAGAGAAGGAAGGGAAGTCAACGACTCCGCGGCTACGGCCCTGAGGCATGCTTTGAGGCCTTGCAGCAAGCTCCAGCTGCTTTGCAACGCCAACATCGGCGGTGGACTGCCAGGGCTTTCGAGACTTTTCGGGAGCACCCGATGAATCGAAGTCAACAGCAAGCAAGTCATAGGCCAGGCTCTACATGTAGCTTTGGATTTGAAGACTTCCCTCTATGCAGGCACTTCGCAAGCCTTGGTCAGCTCCAAGGATGTACCAGGCACTTGGAGGGCAATCCAGTTGTGCTTCAGAGCGTCCTGGCGCTCTGCCCTCTTCGAGTTAGGTGAGGCATTGCATCCGGAAAAAGACATTCGTTTACCGATAGGGGCTGCTGTGGTTGCATGGAGTCACGTTGAAAGCCCAGCCCCGGTCCGAGAGCCCGATTCGCCTCAGCTGTACACATTTCTGAGAGCAGAAGCGAAGCCTAGCAGAAGCGAGACCAGGCCAGGTCGCATCGCAGGCTCACGAACCAAGAGCTTTTGCATCAAGTCAGCGGCCAGTGGTGGCACGTAGCCAGGCACCTCCCAAGTATTTTCGCAGGGGGGCACTCGGCTCGCTGGGGCCGCCAAAAGGCTGCGAGCCTGCAGATCCACCTTGCGAATGCGATCTGTGGCCTTCGCTGGGCCTGAGATGGTTGCAGGAGACCGGCCGGAATGTACAGTACTCCACAAGTTCGCAGAGGGAAAGTCCCGGATGAAAGAAGAAGCAACGTCCTCCCTCGAGTTCTCGCTCTTGCCCCTCTTGCTCTCGATCTCGCGAGTGACCGCTGGTGTTGCATCTTCCTGCCGGGTGTCTTGGTGCGGAAAACGGAGCTCTGCCGGTCAGCATCTCGAAGAGGAGAATGCCTGCATGGGCTTCTCAAGTCCAGCAGGGATACTTCTGGGAAACTGGAGAAAGCCACAGATCGAGTTGCTGCAACACGACTTAGCACGACAGCATCTTTACAACAAAGGCAGCAGCCATCCAAACGCTGCAGAAACAACAGTTTGCTACTCGAAGTACCTGTGGCCCAGATGTCGACTTTGTTGTTGTGAGGCTGGTTCTCCACCTGGGCATAGCAGCGGAGGTCAGGAGATGTGCGAGTGACACAGGGGGAGATGAATAGGAATGGGGGCTGGTTTCTCCTGAGCCTCGTGCCATCTCGGGGGAGAGGTAGTCCCATGTCCCGCCTTGGATGGTAGCTGTCTTTTTGAGAGCTCGAAGGCAGGACCAAGTTGACAGCATGATGCGCCGACGGCCTGCCATGCCGCAACCAGGCAACCATGCTCAAAACTACCACGATCTCATGACGCGTAAATCGGTCTGAAGTCTGCCGAAAGAACACCTCAGAGTCTCTGTGATCCTCGGGCGAGAGGCAAAACGTATTCCGCGGCGCACCGCCTTTCTCGAGCTCTGCACACCAACCAAAGTCTGCAAGCTTGGCCTAGCAGCCGTGCGTCGCCAAGGGCGATGCATGGATATGTACCGTACACCGGTAACATGTCTCAGTCGGCGAGTGGGCTGCATGCATGTTGCTGTAGTGTCAGCATGGCACAAGCACAATTTCCTGCAACCTGGCCTTTGTCGGAGGGTCGCCACACATGAGTATGTTCTCGGGCTTTAAGTCCCTGTGCACCTCCACGGGCACTTTAGTGGTCACTCTTCCGTGCTTGATCCGAGAACCACGAGAAGCAGGTGGCTCTTGCTCCTAGGCATCTATTGAATAGCATGACTCTTGAGGACATGCTTTCGGTTCCTGTGCTTTGCAAGTGTTCTGGTTTCTTGCTGGCTAGAGGCCAAATGCACAGTCTTGCCTTGCACATGCCTGCCACCGCCGGGCCATGCCATACAAGGGACGCCCGCGTCCCAGGATTCCCAATTCTTGCGGCCAGGATGCAATCCCATGCTTGTGCAAGTGCATGAGAGCAAGCGCGACATCGACGTAGTACCTGGCGCTAGCACTCTGGCTTCTGAAATCGCACGAGATTTTGCAGCAGCTTTGCACAGGGTTTGGGACATGGCAACAACCAACAAACAGGCGTAGAGCACCTCGCCGCTTCGGCTTCAGGTAGCTGGCCATGTTGCCTGCAAAAGGTCCAGGTGTAACAAAATTTTGCAGTTGCGTAAACGAACGGCGTTCCAAGTCCTGCCCGTCGCAACGCCGAGCCTTAGAAGAGAGAACAGGGAGCCACCGTTGGCATACTCCAGCAAAAGAAGAACGTGGTGCTCATCTTCGAAGTAGTAGTGTAACTGCACAATGCCTCAGATTTGCATGCATCTACGGAGGCCATGACAGCCTCAAGTCATGAAGCCCGTGAATGCGAACGTCTCTATGCAACAAGGAAGCACGGGTGGGTGAGTTGCATCTGTGTCCGGATTTCGCGCATGAGGTATGCCTCGTTCGAAGTGAGGTCACTTCGGAAACTTTGTGTAGACCCCTGACTTGGAGTACTCTCATGAATTACAAGACTTTCAAAAATGGGCCCACTCTCGCGGTACGGTCGCTGGAGGCGACCTTCCACGTCTTGTGCACATCTGCGAAGACCCTGCATTTCCCAGCCTACTAGGCATGTGCCTGCATACAGGAAGCGGGTCGTTAGGGGCATTCGCAGACAGAGATATCGTACCAGGTGGTTGCGATGTTCCGTATTCTTAACATATCGATTCATATCTGCACATGATCTAACCTAAGAGATTTCCGAAGCATTGTATCAGCCAAGCGTCTAGCATGCCTTGATCTCGGATCTTCTGCTTGGGGACTGCTTTCATCGCAAAGATCCTCCGTTATGCGGGCCAGCAACTGCAAGACTTGTTTTCGAGATCACATGGGGGCTTCTTCACCAGCATTTCCGGCGCGCTGCTTGCCAGTCTATACATGTGTCGGCATTCCGCAAGAGTCTGAACAATGGCGGCTACAGACCAGAGTTGCTTTGCCGAGCGGCTCACCAGTGTCCTTGTGGCGGACCCTGGTGACTTGCCCATAAGAGCCTCAGGCAGGGCGTTGCGCGACTCAACCGGTCTGAGGATTTTTCCCTCCTACTTAGCCAGGACGAGCCCGCATGTGGGTTTCACTGTGACCCCACTACTCTTCTCTGCGACGAGTTGGTTTGCTGCCAATATGAGTTGTTGCTCTCAGGATGTTTGCAATAGCACTGAGATGCACTTCCCTGAGCTGCACGGCCTCTGCAAGAGTAACTAGTTGTACTAGTCATAGTAGTAGTAGTAGTAGTAGTAGTAGTAGTAGTGGTAGTAGTGGTAGTAGTAGTGGTAGTAGTAGTAGTAGTAGGATCCTCGGAGAAACGCCGCAGAGGTCTTCTTAGTTCTCCAATACCCACCCTTTAAACTTTTTGGGTTCTTGTAACTTAGTAGGATTCTGAAAGTTTAACCTTTAATTTCCTTGGCTTCTTGGGAAAGTAAGTCTTTTGGGGAAATTGTCTCCCTAGGATCCAAAAACTCATTGTTTTTTTTGGGGGGTTATACCTCAAAATTAAGGGGTCAGGGTCTGCAGCAGCAGCAGCAGCAGCAGCAGCAGCAGCAGTAGCAGTAGCAGTAGCAGTAGCAGTAGCAGTAGCAGTAGCAGTAGCAGTAGGAGTAGTAGTAGTGGTGGTAGTAGTAGTAGTAGTAATAGTAGCAGCAGCAGCAGTAGTAGCACTAGTACAGTAGCATCAGTAGTAGCAGGAGGAGGAGCAGGAGGCGGAGGAGTAGGCCCCCCCCCTCCAC